CACTTTTCATATGTGTGCCCTGAAAATATATTCTCCCAAAATATTTTCATTCTGTTGATTGTTACTTTGCAATGGGATTTTTTTTTAATTTGGTATAGTCCTATTTGTTATTTTTTCCTTTTGTTGTCACCAATATTGTGTTAGCTATATGCAGTTTTACTAGCTGTACAATAAATCTTTTTGTCAAAAGTTTCATTTATTTGAAAGGCAGAGTTACAGGGAGACAGAGAGAAAGCAATCTTCTATCTGGTGGTTTACTCCCAAAATGGCCCCAACTGCTAGGGATGGGATAGGCTAAAGCCAAGAGTCAGAAGCTTCAACTGGGTCTCCCACATGGGTTGCAGGGGCCCAAACACTTGGGCCATCTCTGCTACTTTTTCCAGGCAACTAGCAAGGAGACAGGTCAGAAGTGGAGCAGCCAGGACACGAATCAGTACCCATATGGGATGCCACCCTCACAAGCAGTGCCTTTACTCACTATGCTAGAACATTAGCTCCTCCTGCATATTATTAAATAGATTTGAAGGGCCAGCGCTGTGGCATAGCAGGTAAAGCTGCCACATACAGTGCCGGCATCCCATATGGGCACCAGTTCGAGTCCTGGCTGCTCTACTTCCAATCCAGCTCACTGCTTTGGCATGGGAAAGTAGTAGAAGATGGCCCCAGTCCTTGGGCCCCTGCACCTGCATTGGAGACTTGAAAGAAGCTCCTGGCTCCTGGCTTCAGATCGTCCCAGCTCTGGCCATTGTGGCCATTTGGAGAGTAATCCAGCAGATGGAAGATCTCTCTCTCTCTCTCTCTCTCTCTCTCTCTGCCTCTCTGTAACTCTCCCTTTCAAATAAATAAATAAATCTTTTTTTAAAAAATAGATGTGAAAAGATGGTGCATATTTACACTGTTTCTGATGTTAGGCATAAAACATACAGTTCTTCACCATTAGGTATGATATTAGCTATAGATTTTTTGTATTTGCCCTTTCTCAGGTTAAGGGTTTTCCATTCTATTATTTAAAAAGAATTTTAAAAAAAGGATAATGTGGGGATGGGAGTTGTGGTACAGTGGATAAAGCTGCTGCTTGAGATATCCACATACCATACTGGAGTGTAACTTTGAGTCCTTGCTCTGCGGCTTCCAATTCAGCTTCCTTTTAATGCACCTGGAAAGGCAGTTGAAGGTGGTTAAAGTCCTTGCATCTGCCACCCAGGTAGAAGACCTGGATGGAGTTCCCAGTTCTTGGCTTTTGCCTGGCCCTGGCAGTTGCAGTCATCTGGAGAGTGAATCAGCAGGTAAAAGATCTCTCTGTGTCTCTCCCCCTGACTTTCAAACAAACAAATAAGCAAAAGATCTTTAATAATTTAATGCAAAATACTTTTTTCTTTCAAATGACCCTAATGCAGTGAATTACACTGATTTATTTTACAGCCCCCTGTCTGGTAATCTGTTCCTCTCACATGCACTCCCACTATGATGCTGTCAGACATGGTGTGCTATAGCTGGGAGTGGGGAGGTGCTTGCAAGCTGGCACCACGCTGTTTGTGCTCCCACATTGTGAGCCAAATAAAGCCCTTTTCTTTATAAAGTGTGCAGCCCTAGGCATTCAATTAGAGTAACTGAAAATAGACTGGCCAGTGCCGCGGCTCACTAGGCTAATCCTCTGCCTTGCGGCGCTGGCCTACGGGGTTCTAGTCCTGGTCGGAGCACTGGATTCTTTCCCGGTTGCCCCTCTTCCAGCCCAGCTCTCTGGTATGGCCTGGGAGTGCAGTGGAGGATGGCCCAAGTAGTTGGGCCCTGCACCCCATGGGAGACCAGGATAAGTACCTGGCTCCTGCCTTTGGATCAGCGCGGTGCGCTGGCCGCAGTGCGCCGGCTGCGGCGGCCATTGGAGGGTGAACCAACGGCAAAAGGAAGACCTTTCTCTCTGTCTCTCTCTCTCACTGTCCACTCTGCCTGTCAAAAAAAAAAAAAAAATAGATGAATGGAATTACTGGATCATATGGTAGTTTTGTGTCTAACTTTCAGCTAATTGCCCAACTGTTTCCTAATAGCTAGACTATTTTTACATTCCCACCAAGCAAGTGGTCTAATTTTCCCACATCCTCTCTTTTTTTCTTTTTTTTTGCTATTTTGAGAGTAGCCATCCTTTTAAGTGTGAGGTGGCATATTGTTGTGGTTTTGATTTGTGTAACTGTATTTTGTTAATGATTAGTCATGTTGAACATTTTCTTCCAGTGTATAATGGTCATTTGTTATCTACTTTGTGGAAATGTCTTTTCAAGTCCTTGCTCATTTGTTATTAGGATTTTGTTGTTCTTGTTGTTAAGTGGTAGTACTTCTTTACATATTTTGGATAGATTGGGATATATGAATTTAAAACATCCTGTTCCATTTTTAAGTTTTTTAATTCTGTCATTGTGTCCTTTCATGCACAAAAGTTTGAAATTTTGATTTATCCAAGTTATCTCCATTTTGTTTTGTTGCTTGTGGTTTTGGTTTCATATTAAAGAAATCAAGGACTAATCCACTGTCATGAAATTTTCCCTTTATGTTTTCTGATATGAGTTTTATAAGTTTAAACCTTAAATTTAGATCTTCGATCCATTTTGAGCTAGTTTTTGTATATGGTATAAGGCAAAGGTATAACTTTATTCTTTAATCTTTGGATACATAATTGCCCCAACATTATTTATTGTCTTTTCTACATTAAACAGTTGTGGCTTTTCCTCTGAAGTCATTTAGCCATATATTAAGGGTTTACTTCTGGGCTCTCTATTATGTTCCTTTGATCTACCTATTTATGGTAATAGCATGCTTAGATTACTGTAGCTTTATAGTAAGTTTTGAATTCAGGAAGGAATCTGTGAGAATACATGGCTTAAAAATTCAGTTTTAACTTCTTGCTTGCTTAGAGCCTCAAAGTCAGCCAGAAGTGATTGAGTGGGCTCTTCTTATTTCTCAAGTCTTCCTGGGGATAGCCTTTTACATATGTTAAGTTTTTTCTTTTTCAAATGACTTCAACATGTGGTATTGTACATATTCATGGGGAAGAGTACAATATCCCAGCACATGTATACAGTGTAAACTGATGAAATCATAGTTAGAATTTCTTATGTGTAGAGCCCACCAAATTCTCTCTCCCAGTTCTTTACACAGTATTTAATGCATTATTATGAAAAATAGTTTTCTGACTTAGAACACTAGAACCTGTTACTTCTATATTACTGTGCTTTTGTACCCGTTACCCAGCATCCTTCTATTTGCCTTTGTCCCACCATTCCCTGTTTCTAGCAATCACAATTCTAAGACTAAGATCTGATCAATGTTTTTTTTTAACTTTTCACATATGAAGAACATGCAGTAGTTGTCTTTCAGTGTATTGACTATTTCACTTAATACAATGACCTCCAGTTTCATCCTTGTTGCTTCAGATGTCAAGATTTCATTCTTTTTTATAGCTAAATAATATTCCATTATATACATGTGCACATTTTATTTAGTGCGAAGCATTTTAGATTTCTAAGAACACCTCAGAACTTTTCCAAGCTTCATATGATTGTTTAGTTATTCAGAAGTTCCTTTTAAATTTCCAACCTGACTCTAAGTTACCTAAATTCATTGCATAGCTTTATCCAGTTCTGCTGTTGCCAGAGGTTGATACTGTATAAGTCACCTAGTGGTAATGATTTTTTTTCATTGAGTTGAGATGGTGTCAAACAGACAGCCACAACATATTAGGAACAGAGAGCTGTAAGTTCACAAAATACTAAACTGCGCTTAGAAGATGGTGCTTTTAACAGAGCATCAGATGATCTCAATTCTCTCTGTTACTCCCCCTCTCTCTCTGTAACTCTGACTTTCAAATAAACAAATATATAAATAAATTTTAAAAGAAAAAAGGGGCCAACGTTGTGGTGTAGCGGGTAACACTGCTACCTGCAACACTGGCATCCCATATGGGTACCCATGTTCCAGCTGCTCCACATCTGATCCAGTTCCCTACTAATGGCCTGGGAAACACAATAGAGGATGGCCAAAGTACTTGGGCACCTGTTACTCATGTAGAAGACCTGGATGAAACTTTTAGCTCTTGGCTTATGTCTCTAGCCTGGCTCAGCCCTAGCCACTGTGGCCACATGAGGAGTAAACCAGCAGATGGAAGACTTTTCTCTCTCTTTCTCTTTCAAATAAATAAATAAATCTTTAGAAAATTATATCAGTCCTTTCAGGCTTTTATGGATCTCATGCTAATGAGCTGGAGAGGGAGAGGAGATAGGAATAGTCTCCAATGAAAACGGTTCTAAACTTTTCCATCTTTCTGAGGTTTAGTCATATATTTGAAATAGATTTCCAGTTTTTTCCCCTGTGGATTTTGTTAATTTCTGGTGTTCTGGAAATTAGTATTAGCTGTTTTGCTAGTGCTGTCCCTGTTTTTGTGGAATAACAATCAATAGAATTCCTTACTATAGTACTTTAGAAGTTAGTCTCCTATCATTAAAATAAGTAATTGTTGCAATGTCTTATTCTCCTCAATCACCACCTTTTAACACAAAACTCCACACTCTGTAAAGGAAATCAATATAATCGAGACCCTAGAATACCTCACACATAATGTCTACCATACAATTAGAAGTTCCTCACAAGTGAAGTAGAAAAAAAGGTTATTTGGTCATTTTAATATAACTACATTTACATGAAAAAGCTGACATTGTAATTTGCATTGTATAATTTATTAGGTAGAAATTTGACTTCTTGATTAACAACATACATCTAAACTACTTATACTACTAATGAAATACAATAAAAATTCAAAAATGGGGATGTGGCCTTTTTTGTGGGGAACATGAAGTAAAATAGCAAGTTTTTTTTTTTTTGTATTTTTAAAATCCATCCTCCAAAAATTTTGGGTATATTTTTAGTGATACAAGAGGCAATGCTGCCTTCTCAATGACTTGCTTTCTTTTAGCAAATACAACTCTAGGGCTGCTATAAACATTCTGACTTACCAATATTCTTGAAGAGGTTCTCTGTGCTAATACTGCAAAAATTCCTGAAAGGTTAAACTAGAAACAAAGAACACATTTATTAATACGGAGTCATATTTTTTCTATATAAACACATAGAATAAGAGAATTCTGAAATGCTGTAACATCAAAAATATCGGGGCTGACACTGTGGCATAGCAGGTAAAGCTGCCAGCTGTGAAGCCAGCATCTCATCTGGGCACCGGTTAGCTGCTCCACTTCCAATCCAGCTCCCTGCTAATGTGCCTGGGAAAGCAGTGGACGATGGCTCAAGTGCATGGGCCACTGCACCCACATGGAAGACCCCAAAGCAGCTCCTGACTCCTGGCTTTGGCCTGACCCAGCACCAGCCATGAACTAGCAGATGGAAGAACTCTCTCTCTAACTCTCCCTCTTCCTCTCTCTGTGTAATTCTGATTTTCAAATAAATAAATCATTAACAACATTTAACAATATATCCTAATTCTTTACTGAGACCATTGAGAAAACCACAGGGAAATAATTAAAAGTTTTATTTATATAGAAGGGAGACAGCTATGAAGTCTTTGGCCACTAATGTGGGGTAAGTACTGGGAATGGAATTCAGGGACACCTTGAAGTTAGTCTGTGGGAAAAGGAATAGCAAAGGTCACCTAGTTTTTGTTTATCATTATTCATTGAGCCCATAAAGTAAATTGCAAGAAAATATACTCAATTAATGAATTCACCATTAGATGATATTATATCTTGATGATTTCATGTTCAAGTACTTTTAATATTATGTCAAAATATTTTATTAATAGAAAAACATCATTCAGAAAATATTCAAGCTTCAGTTTACTCATTTAAATACAAAAATCAGGATGTCTTCCATGAGCGTTTTGTTTTGAGATGTTCCATTATTCCCTGATACTTATTAGAAAGATGGCAGCTGAGGTGTATCAGAATATTGTTTCTCATCAGTGCACCTTTTGTTAAAAAATATTTATTTACTTATTTGATAAGCAGAGTTACAGAGAGGGAGAGGGAGAGGGAGAGAGAGAGGGAGAGAGAGAGAGAGAGAAATCTTCCATTTATGCCCCAGATGGCTGCAATAGCTGGAGCTGGGCCACTCCCAAGCCAGGAGCCAGGAACTTCTTCTGAGTCTCCCACATGGGTGCAGGGGCCCAAGGACTTGGGCCATCTTCAACTGATTTCCCAGGCCATAGCAGAGAGCTGGATCGGAAGTGGAGCAGCTGGAACTCAAACCAGCGCCCATATGGGATGCCGACACTGAAGGCTGTGGCTTTTACCCGCTATGCCACAGCACCGCCCCTCCCTTTAAGAAATGTTGATTTCTGTATATTAGAATTCACAAAACTGAAAAAAACACATATATTTGTCTTTTTGGGACTGGCATATTTCTTTTTTAATTTTTCCAAAGAAATCTTTTAGTTAAGTAATATAGACTTCATGCATTTCATAAATACAACTTCAGGAACATAGTGATTCTTCCCTCCATACCCACCCTCCCACCCTACTCCCACTCCTACTCCTTTTCTTCCTCCCTCTCCTGTTCCCGGTCTTGTTTTTCACTAAGATCTATTTTCAATTAACTTTATACATAGAAGATTAACTCTATTCTAGGTAAAGAGTTCAACACTTTGTATGAGGAAGAAAAGAAAAAGAGAGAAAGAAGAAAACAAAACAAAAAAACCCTAAAAACAAAAACCATAAAAGAAAAAACAAGAACAAAAACTATTCCTCAACAGTCCAGAGAAGGGCTGTTCAAAGTCATGGCATCTTGAAGGTAATTTCACTTGTTTTTTAGAAACTTAATTCTCTTTAAAGAAGAACCCATGAATATTTACTACGACTTGAACATCTTAAATATATATATATACATATAAAGATATACGTATCTTTATGTCTTCAACAGAAAAAGTAAGATCTATGAAAATAAAACATTATCTTGCTTAAATGCTTTATAATTGTTTTAGCTCAGAGCCTATTTATCTCCTGAAAATGGTGGCTGTTCAATATATTTCTTCAGTGAATGAAAATAAAACTTAAATATCATAATTTATTTTAGCTATGATATTAAGCAAACTTGTGAAAAACACGTTCAAGAGACTGTATGTCCTCTCTTGCTTTATTCCCTCAAGGTTCATTTTCAAGGAGGCCCAGATGATAGAAGCCATAAAAAAAACTGTATTATCTCATAAATTTCCAATTAAGAACATTTCATGTTTGAGATATGTGTGCCCATGTATGTTGATTATAAACTTACTCCAATATGTATAAGGTAGAGAAATGAATGAAGGCCTATCTAATCTGAAGAATAATATGGCAGGACTGACATTAATGACAGCCTTAAGTAAAGTCATAGTAACTAAGTCACAATAATAGAAAAGTTTAGGGTTCAAAAGTGGATTCAAACTCATATGGACATGTGATTTGTAACAAATCAAGTCATGAATCACAGAAGCAAAAAATCTCCATAAATGGTGCTTTTGAGAATACATATTGGAAAAAATGAGACTTGACGCCTACATTATATCACAAACAAAATCAAATTCCAAATCTATCGCTTATCTACATGCAAAAGGCAAAACAATTAAGCTTCTAGAATATAATATAAAAATATCCCTCCGCTTAGATAAGTGAAATGTTTATTCAGTAGTATACAAATGAGTACCCCAAAATGGAAAATTATATTGGGTTACTTTAAAATTAATAGTTTATTTAACTGAAAGACACCTGAAGGGAGAACACAAAAGAGAAATAGAAAAGAGTCAAAATTTATTAACAGAGTAAATCAGCAAAGCAATAGTATGTGAAAAAATGTTCAATATCATTAGCCATCAGGAAGATGCAAATCAAAACCACAGCCAGATATCATCTTAACCCAATTAGAATAGTTACTTTCAAAAAGACATAAAAATAACAAATGTTATTGGGGATGTAGAGGAAAGGGAACCCTAATGCACTGTTAATGGGAATGCAAATTAACAACAATTATGGAAACCATATGGAGATTCCTCAAAAACTAAAAATGATCTATTTATTTATTTATGGATATATATTCAAAAGAAATAGAATTATCAGATTAAAGACACTCTGATATTTATTATAGTACTTGTCACAGTAACCAAGATATGGAGTCAACCAAGATTTTCATCAATTATGAGTGAAATATTATTCATTCATAAAAAAGAATGAAACTTGTAATCTGTAGGAATGGAGTGCAACTCAAGGACATTATGTTAAGTGAAATAAGCCGAACACAGAGAGACAAATCACGTTCTCTCTCACGTACGGAAGCTAAAAACATAGTTGATCCAAATGTAGAACCATGATTACAGAATCTAGGAATGGTAAGGGATTGGAGGTATAGATGGAGGGTGAATAATGCGTACAGAAACCCAGTTAGATAGAAGAAGTGCTAGTTCCATAGAAAAGTTAAGTATCTATAGTTCATAGCAACCTATTAAACATTTTATGAAGAATTAAAAGAGAGGGACTTAAAGATTCCCAATATTAAGAAATGAGAAGGAAATGAAAATGCTAATTACCCAATTTGAAAAGCATACGCTGTATACATGTGTTGGAATATTACATTATGCCCCATAAAAATGAACAAATACTACATGTTAATGCAAAATTTAAGCACATAAATAAAAAAGAACATTGAACATTAAAAAGGATATCAAAATATCTGGTAAAAATAATCTTATCTCTCATCAAAACAAAGCAAATCAACATAGCAAATAGAAAACACTGACCAGTATAGTTTACATTAAGGAGACTGACAAAACAAAGTACTGCTGAGGATATGGAACAAATGAATATGTAAATTTGTAAAACTACTTGGCAATGGGGCCAGTGCTGTGGTGCAATGGGTTAAAGCCCCAGCCTGTAGTGCTGGCGTCCCATATGGGTGCTAGTTTGAGTCCCAACTGCTTCACTTCTGATCCGGCTCTCAGCTAATGCATGTGGGAAAGCAGCGGAGGATGACTCAAGTCCTTGGGCCCCTGTACCCACATGGGAGACCTGGAAGAAGCTCCTGGCTCCTCACTTCGGATTGGTTCAGTTCCAGCCATTGCAGCCATCTGGGGAGTGAATCAGTGGATGGAGACCCCTCCCCCCTCTGTATCTACCTGTCTGTAACTCTTTCAAATAAATAAATCTTTAAAAAAAAAAACTACCTGGGAAAATTTAGTATCATATGAGCCAGGGTATTTTTAAAGTTTGAGAAATGAATGAATAACAATAGAAACATTTGAATCTGAAGAACCATGTTATTTCCTCTACCAGCATTTCCTTTATTTATTTTTGAAAAGATTTATTTGAAAGGCAGAGTTACAGAGAGGCAGAGGCAGAGGCAGAGAGAGAGAGAGAGAGAGAGGGAGAGAGAGTGAGTCAGAGTCTTCCATCCACTGGTTCACTCCTCAAATGGCTGCATTGTCTGGAGCTGTGTCTATCTGAAGCTAGGAACCAGGAGCTTCCTCTGGGTCTTCCATGTGGATTCAGGGGGATCAAGGGCTTGGGCCATCTTCTACTGCTTTCCTAGGCCATAGCAGAGATCTGGATTAGAAGTGGAGCAGCTGGAACTCAAACCCACGCCTATATGGGATGCTGGCACTGCAGGCGGTGGCCTTTACCAGCTATGCCACAGGGCTGCGCCCCCAGCAATACCTTTAAAAAGGGCATTTTTTAAAAAAAATCTTCCATGTGCCTTGTATTTAGATTTGGAACACATTATTTTTAAAGAATAAAAGAGTATATTTCAGTCTGAAATGTAAACTTGTTAAGTAATTTGTCTTATTTTTCGTTTTGTTCTTTTAATTTTCACATCTACCAAAACATCAAACATAAACTAAATGGTAAATAAGCAATACATGAGAAAAACCAATACTCCGAAGAAATAGTAGTCCCAGTACAACTGTTTGAATTTTAAAAAATAGAAAAAAAAACTCTAAATAATTGCAAATAGTTTTGTACCATATATATAAGAGTATGTATAATTTTTATAATGACAGTGTAGCTTTTCACCAGAATATTTTTAAATTTATTTTTTA